TGGAATATGTTACGACATGCACCATGTTATCATTAACGTTTAGCAACTCAAATTTTAGAGAATCTGCTAATCCAATTATGGGAGTGTAACTGTCTCTTATACACATCTAGATGTGTATAAGAGACAGATATATATATTGTATTTCACAATGTCTGTTAATACTCCTGATTTATTTTGTCCAGTGTCCTTCCATATGTAGTGAATAACCTGTGGTTTGGACCTTTAACTAGGCTGAATTGCACACAGGCGTGTACCAACTCATTCTACAACTTTTTACATTTTCATTTACATTTACATCTATGTCCTATTTTTAATTCATTCATTGATACCACAATTTACATTTGTTTAGGTCTGTCAGTGGAAGTCTACTATCTGCTGGTAGTTGCCATAATAGTTCGTCAAACTCAGGATTGAGTTTACATTCACACTCAAGTGTGAACTCACATTCTCTCTCAAACACTCTACCTTTTACTCCAAGTCCAATACCAAGCCACGAAGCATTAACGGAGACAGACGATCTAGTGGCTTTTGAGCGATCCTTGTCTCGTGAGATGTCGCTTGAGACACCGTCTGAGTTTTCACTTACACACTTGACTTTGGAAATGTTGAAGGTAATTTATTTATCAATGTATGTATTCATGCATTTTCTCCAGTTTGTAAAGTAAATCTTTTTTCCATTGCCAAATAGATCTGCGATAAATGTTTAGCCGAGCATTTAGTCAAGACAGGCAAACAGAGGGCATTTAGTAGTGTCCTATTACTAAACAAACATGTATTAGACATGGACACTCCTAAATTTTCATTCACAAAGTCAAATCCAATGATTGTGGAACCAATCAGAAGCAGAAATGTGTTAATAGAAAATGGAGAGAATGTTTGGTTGTTTTTCTGCTTCATTTTTCGATTGGTTCATGATTTTTTTTTCTGTTTTTTCTTCTTTTTTTTTAAAATTTAGCTCTGATTACTGTATATGAAGCTTTATTGCAGCAATGTAGCAAGTGTACTTTTTCAGAGAGCTCTTATTCATCCATGCTTATACCATAATGTGAGAACATTCTGAAATCAGCATTATGTGATTGGCTGGGATACAGACTGTAGTATTTTATTTGACAAAAGCATGTGACATGCATAAATATGGTCATCAAGACCATATATAGGCATATCAAGACCATATATAGGCATATCAAGACCATATATAGGCATATCAAGACCATATATAGGCATATCAAGACCACATATAGGCATATCAAGACCATATATAGGCATATCAAGAACATATATAGGCATATCAAGACCATATATAGGCATATCAAGACCATATATAGGCATATCAAGACCATATATAGGCATATCAAGACCATATATAGGCATATCAAGACCATATGTAGGCATTATGTGATTGGCTGGGATACAGACTAGTATTTTATTTGAAAAAAGCATGTGACATGCATAAATATGGTCATCAAGATCATATATAGGCATATCAAGACCATATATAGGCATATCAAGACCATATATATAAGCATATCAAGACCATATATAGGCATATCAAGACCATATATAGGCATATCATGACTAAAGCTGGGCATACAACAGTTTTTTGTCAAAGAAAATCTGATAATGATTTGGACAGAGCCTTATACACTGAGGCGCTATCAGTATTCATGACATATAGCACTTAAATAATCAAATTATCTAAAATGTGAATCTTTTTTTTAGGCTCCTGTTGACCACTATAAGCAGTGCTCAGATCCATCTTTTTTGATTAACACAATAAGAACTGTGTTTACATCATCAGATGCCCTTAATTCAAGTTTTCTTGTAAGTAAAGGATAATATTTTTGTATCACTTTGTCTTTGTTCTAAATCAATTTTAAATGTAAATTTTTTTCTCTTGTGTTGATGTTGATTTTTCCAGAATTTCCTCACACATGTGTTACTAAAACTTTGAATTGTTTTTTTTTTTTTTTCAAATTGTATATATTTAAAATTAAGAGCATACTACACAAATGGTTAATTTAATTGGTTGAATATTTGATGTTGTATTTGTTCATTTATTTTTTAAGGTTAATGCTTTTTAATGATATTTGAGTAAGTTTTGCTTTTTTATGTTTAAAATCAGTTATATATTTGTGCTGATCATGTAATTGGTGTTTACACAGTGAATATTTTTTAAAAATACAAAATAATACTCAAAATCTGAACATGCCAGTACTTTAAAGTCAGGCTCCGGAGGAAAAAAAATTTTGATATGTTGTAGAACTGATTTTTCTAAGACAGAAAAAGGTTGTTTGACTAAAAACTGGGGAACTGTGAATGAGATACAGATTTTTTAATATTTAAAAACTGGGGGAAAAAGGGGCGTAACTGCCCATTTTTACACCTTATTCCCCCAGTTTTTAAATATTAAAAAATCCGTATCTCATTCACCGTTCCCCAGTTTTTCGTCAAACAACTTTTTTCTGTCTTAGAAAAATCAGTTCTACAACATATCAAAAAAATTTTTTCCTCCGGAGCCTGACTTTAAGTTCCCTTAGTGAGGAAGTTAAACACAAGCACATTATCAGATGTTTTGTTGCTTGCAGATTCTCTTGAACTGAATGTATACAGTATTTTGCTGAAAATGTTAATATGATTCTCAAATTTAGAGGAGGGCATTAATTATTACTACCTTTCTTTTAATTATAGCTCAAAGAAGATGACATATGCAGTGGAGTTGACCTGGAAGCAGTTGACAGGGCATATGACCTTCTTTTGAACTTGTATCCACCTGATGTCTTCCAATCCACAATGAATAATTCACTTGAGATCCTGATGTCTTCCATTCATCCTGCTTCCATTCAATCTTCAGAAATTAACCAGGTATAACCCACTAAGACTTATGCCCGTATTCTTAAAACATACTTTAGTCAAATTTCGAAATAGAACTTCAATTTGTATTCACAAACAACGTAGTCGAAGTTCTAACTACGCCTAAATCAAGTGTTAGTTGTAGTTCAGCTGAAGATGGCTGGCAAGTAACAGCTACAAACTAACCAATGAAAAGAGCTAATTTTAATAGCGGACTAAATTTTAGAGATCCGGTAACGCGGATAAATATTAAACTGCAGTCTGTCTTTTAAAAACATATTTCCTCATAATTCATAATAGACCATTATTTGCCTAACTAATATTCTATAATAATCTATATTAGCCGTTAACATCTAACGATAGAGAATTTGAACTGTCACTCAAAATTTGCTTTGTTTGGAGAACTATTATAGTTGAGGTCGAGCGAGGGCAGCGCCATCTTTGTTGTTGTTACGGTGAAGCTACGTGACCGCAACGCGAGGGGATTTCGTGCAAATCAGGAACTGTTACATGTGGCTAGCAAAACATGTTAATTTTGCCTTTTGGAAGTTAAACGTAATGTCCCTTTGTTTAAAACACACTGGAGATACATCGGACCTATTTATACAATCGTTTTTATTCACTTAACTTTATCGTAAGTTACAAAAAACACTTTTTTAGTGGGGTAAGTATTTCAAGTCGGCGATTTAGCCTGACCCTAGGCTGACTAAATAAAATTGGCCTGAGGAGGTATAATTTTAGTCGAGGTTCGCATGATTTAGTCGTAGTGCTAGTCAAAGTTCTTTTTAAGAATAGGAAATGACGTACTTCTGAAGTTTCAGCTTGAAATACAACTGAAGTTGGTTTTAAGAATACTGGGTTAATTTCCAGTAGGGTTCCTCTAGTGGTGAATTGGCAGTACATCAGGAGACAATGCTCTACTCTTTGCCAAAGAGTGTACTGTGTTCTTTAGTGTGCACATGGGCTACAATGCACGGGACCAACGGCTTAAACTTCTCATCCGAAAGACAGTGCCCTTATGCAACTAAAACACAAGGAGAGCAGTGATAAGAATTGAACCAGGGACCTAGAGATCTCCATGGTTTAGTGCACACACACAGTGGCTACCACTAGTTTAGCTGACTGAGCTAACTGCTTGCTTTTATCTTTGACTTTCTCTCTGATTCAGCCCATTATTATTATTATTTTTTTTTTTTAAATGTAATTATTGGGTTTAATTTCTCCTGTGATTCATTAACTAACAAGTAATGCCGGTTATTCTGCTTCTGGTTAGTTTGTAGGATGTTTCCTAGCTTAGCTTTTCAAATTTTTCTTTTGCTGCAGTTTATTTTCTCATGAGCCTCAAGTATTTCTTTATATTAATGGATATGAGTGCATACAAATCAAATTTATTTTTATGGTTATGATTAATTACACACTGAAATTGCTGTTCATGTTGCTTGTAATTGTAAGCTGTAAATTATATTCTTTTGTAGTTTCAGATACTTCTAGCAAGCCCTTTGTTTGTTGGGAGTCATGAACTCCTACGCAAGCTGTGTGCAATACTGGGGGCGCTGTGTAAGTCAGCAAAGAGAGCTATTGTAAGAGTGTTGAGCTGTTATGACAAGAAGACATTTCAGAAGCTTATTGCGATGTTTAATGTCCATCTTTCAGCCACACTGCACCCACAACAAGGGTTAGTATCATAATTATCTGTTGTGAGAATCTCCATTATTTTCATAATCAATCTGTGTTCCGTAAATGATTTTATACTAAACTTTATTAAAACATCACAAGACAATGTATGAGACTGTCTTAAACCTAAGTTGGTTTTGATGACTTTTACATTGATTTAATGTTTATGAAATTCGTGCATCCAACTGCAAATGTCATAGCTGCAAAAGCAGGAGTATTATCATTTAAGCATAACATATTTTGCTTTAAGAATTATTTTAGCCAATGTGCTAGTAATTTTATAAGGTTAACTGTACTTATTGTTTTTGGCCGAAAATATTAACTAATAATAAATATAATAGGACTTTTATGTCCTTTTATTCTGGAAAAATACTTTAGAACATGGTGTAGCCTGATTGATTAATTAAATTATACATTTAATAATAAAATACATTACCGAACATTGTACAGTGAAACTTCTTAGTTAACACATCAGTATGTGAGAATAGTATCTCATACTATAAAAAGGCAAACTGGTTACAATGCTTTCAAGTTAAATTTATTGTTTTAATTTATTTTAATTTATCATTGATGCTATTGATTTGATCAATTTATCTCCAGGTCCGAAGGCAATTTAATTGATGCAGCCAAAGTTCTTCAAATTCTGTACGATGCGAACACACATTCCGGCAAGACGCTAGCAGCTCGTGAACAATTCTACTCTGATGATCTCTCAAGGTACCATGTCAAACGAAATTGAATCTTCTTTGCATTAAAGAATCATCAGAAAAAGACCTAGGGACTAAAATAACAATTTTTATTCATGGGCAGGATTCCAATTTCCTCAAAATGCTCCATGAGTTGCTGTGGGCTGTGACTTTACTACAGCTATTTATTCTTCTTCTACAGCAATAGGCTTCATAAATTGTTATAAGAATAGGCCTATTCTATAAATGTAAGTGTATCATCCATTGCTGGGTCAGGTGACTCAACAGCAAAAAACTTGCTGTTGAGCCTGGGATTTACAACAGCAGTGGAAGGCCTTTTCTACAGCAATTGCTATCGGTGCTGTGGGGAAATTTGAACCGTGATGCTGATCCCTCATAGTAACATTTATTTGAAACTTTCTCGACACTAAATAATCTGTATTGTGTTATTATTTGGTAAACTTAGGACTTACAGTTAGGCTTAGGCAATTTTACCAGCCGTGGACTCAAGCTACATGCTTCTAAATAGGTACCCATATATGCTTCTGTGTGGGGCAGGAGAAATGTGTTTATGTGCATGCCAAAGAAGACACAATATTATGTCATCATTAATTAATAAAATTTGGGTAACATTAACTAGTAATTGTTTTATTAAATTTAATCAATTTCAATTAAAAATCATTTTAATTACCAATTATTTAACAGTTCTTACATTTTATTCTTTTAGAAAGCTTGATTACAAGACTGAGTACAGTAAATGGAGATTAAGTCAAGAAGCAGACAGTACAAGGAATCCAACAAGTGCAGCAGCTAATCAGTTTACATCTCTTCTAAACTTTCCTTTCCTCTTTGATCCAGCTGTAAGTTAAACTTTTGTTATTGTTTGCATGAAGTTAACTTAATATTTATAATTGTACATTAATACATTTTTATATAACGCATGTTAGATAAAAATTCTTCTCACTGGCACAAAGTTAGAGCCATCAAAAAGAGAATGGAAGTGGTTTGCCGCAGGAACAGTTTTTCAACCTCTAGGTGGGCTTTCAATCCCACGGTGTGCATTTCGCTTGTGTCCTTGAGCAAGGCAATTTATCTGTATTTTTTCTCTTCACCCAGAAGAATAAATGAGTACCTGGTAGGGTTGCCTGCTTTTGCGCTGATTGCAGCTGAAACACTTAAGCATTTGAACCCATCAGCTTATCCCCTCATGGGGGGTGGGTGGAGATGTAGAGGTCGTCTCATTATGGTCCTCCATCTGGTGCGATCCGTTACCTGCTTCTAAGTTCACTAATCTTCCATTATGTCTGATGTAGTTCATCCATCTCTTTCTGAGTCTACCATATTTTTTAATTTAATTTTTTTATATGTTGATAATGGTATACATTTTCATTAATTTGTTCTTTAAACTGGGAAAAGGATTAGTATGCTTCAATGTATATTCAACCAATGTAAAATCTAGAATGCAAATACTATTAAGGTTTAGATTTGAGACAACAAGTATTAAATCATGTGTGTATGGGTAATAATATTCATAATGTTCAACAAGTAAGAGTCCATGCATCTGTGACAATGTAAAATCAATGCTGTGCTAATCTGATGTTATTTCAATGTATTGTGTGATCGTAACTTTAAACAAAACAGTGGTCATAATCATTTGCAGGTTATTTCGTATATGATAGATAATTGGCATTACTTGTTGCTCATATCTTAAAGAAGAACCATTTCAAAACATTACAAACTTGAATTTATGTCAAAATTATCAAAATGAACATATGTTGTCAATAAATAATGATAATTTATTTGTTTATTAATTATTTATGTTTGTATTTGTAGTCTAAAGTGCAAGTGCTACATTTTGATGCCGTCCTTCAGATGAGACAGGAGTACCAATCAGCCATTCTACACCAAGCAGTGAGTATAGTTAATTCAATGGCAGATCCAGGAATTTAAAATAGGAGGGCCCCCAGAAAGGCAATTGTACAAATAAAGGGTCCAAACTACCTCAGCCCCACAATGGTTGGGGCCAAAATATGAAAGCTTGTCTATGGCACTTTTAGATGGCCAGAAATCGTACATTTAGACTTTGAATTTGATTATAATATTTTTATTCTCCCATTTTTATAGATTTCAAAAGTTTAGCGGGTCCCGGGCCGGCCAGAACACCACCCCCCTCACTTTTCAATCTGCTTCTGTAGTTGGGAGTTGGAGTTAGTGGTAAATCTAAATGAAGGGGTCTGGTTGAGTATAAGGGCCTTGATAATTTAACACATCATGAGCATTCTCTCAAAACAGTTAATGGGATGCTATAAATGCTTGGTATTATATTTACTAGTCATTTAAGCATCATATTTGCCAATATTGTTTAACTGTAAATAGACTGTTTACTGTTTTCCCTTTTTTCTCCCTTTTATTAAATTATTGCTAAAAAGTCTAGGGGGTGGAGGCCAATGTGCCTAGGCCTGTTCTTTATATGCAACAGTATTACTACCTAATATTTAATTGATATTTAATAAGTTAATGCTGTATAATATTTTAATAAAATATTTTGTTAAAGCGTGTGAATCAAGCACAGAAGTATATTAGAGAAGGCAGTCGTTTCAACAAGATCTCGGACTGCGTCAAATCCGCCATCTGCCCCTTCCTTGTTCTGGATATCCGTCGGGATCACCTTATCCCTGACACGTTGGCTCAAATCAGAATCAAGCAGTCTGACCTCAAGAAACCACTCAAGATTAAGTACATAGGAGGTGGAGAACAGGTGAGTTGTGTATAAAGAACTGTTGTATGCTCATATATGGTAATGATGTGCCTATATATGGTCATGATGTGATGTCATCATGACCATATTTAGGCATGTCACATGTCTTTGTCAAATAAAATTTGATAGTCTGGACAGGCTGCTTGTTCTCGGATCCAACATTGTGTACGTATAGTTGTTGACCTGTTTAGAAACAAGTAAACTCTGATAAAATTTCATGTCAAACTAAAAACAAATTTGTTTTCAAATCTCTCACCTACAGGGGCGGACAAATGTAGAAATTGAAATTATAGTACGTACGTGCTGCACCACCGTACATGGACATGACATGCACGCGGGGGACCCAAAAGGAGGTCCCGAACAATGGTGCTGGATCAAATAGAGAGGATCTGCCAACCTGCCTCTTTAAAACAGATACTGAAATGATATATATATTTAGTAATCATGCATCATAACTAATAATATTTTAACATTCTTCACCTAGAGGGGTGGAATTAAGAGACCGATCCGCCCTCTCCCCATCTTCTTTTTTTTATAAGTAAAGATAAAGTGTCTTTTCCAAGGACACAAGCAGTGTGACAAGTTCTGATTATTCTCATAGTTCTGATTATCAGTGGTTAAGTTTGATTGACTCGCAGAAAGTTTATGAGTGGTTGTCAAATATAATCTAGGGTTTGTTTGTTGATGTATTAGGGACTGGATATGGGAGGGTTACAGAAAGAGTTCTTCCAGCTGTTAACTGGATCCATCTTTGAGCCTAGCTATGGCATGTTTCTGGAAGCTGAAGAAACAAGACTTTTATGGATCAATGGTGAGTTTGTAAATCGTTGTTTTGTTTGTAAACTGTTGTTTCTTCACAGTGGTGGATCCAGAAATTTGAAATAGAGGGGGGTTTGGGAGGGGCTTTCACGGTTTGTGGGGGAAGGGTTTAGGTCACTAGTCTAAATTTATGATTATTTCCTCTAGATAACTGGAAATGGACATAAGTTTCAATATAATTTTTATTTTTCCATTTTTTCAAAATAATTTTGGAAAATTTAGTGGGGAATCGGGACAGTTGGGCCTCAGACTAGTTTCCCTTTCCCCTCATTTCATTGAATATGCCTCTGCTTCATTTATATTTTAATGATAATTCAACTTGAAATTTCAGTTTTTTTCACAGTCTGCTTCACTTCACATTATAAGATATGCTTTCATCAAGCTGGTATTTTATCTGATTATTTCATTCATATTTTTATTACTGTTTATTGTTATTACAAATAATTTGAATATGTGCTGAAGTACTGCTCTCAAATATTAAGGACTATGGTACCCAAATTATTTGTATTTTAGCACGCATTGAGTATTCAAAGAAGTAAAAATCTCAAGATGAACATTCCTTGTTGATTACTATTAATATTATTGTTTTTTTTTTAGGTGGATCCTTAGAGTCTGATGATGAGTTTGAACTGGTGGGAACCATCCTAGGCCTAGCAATCTACAATGGCATCATACTAGATGTTCACTTCCCTAACCTGATCTATAAGAAGCTACATGGAGAGAAGCTAAGCCTAGATGATTTGAAAGAGGTCCAGCCGACGATAGCCAGAAGCTTGCAAGATTTACTTGACTATGAGGGCGACGTTGAGGAAACATTTTGTCAAACATTCCAGGTATAGAAAATCTAAGTTAACATACTGTGCATTCTCATAATGATAATCATATTAATCATAACATTAATGGTAACATTAACAGAGACAGCAGCAGATTCGGGGCTAGGGAGCAGCCAGTCAGCCCCTTTCCCCAAACCCTTAAATGTTTAAAAATTAGAGAAAAAGTTGAGAAAGAAGGAAAACTATATTCACTTCTGAGAGTGCTATAATCATAAATTTTCTTACTTCAACCAAGGTGGTCAAGACCCTCTATCCGCCCCCTTTATTACAAATTCTTGGATCCACCACTGTGGAATGGTAATGTAACAATAATAATGATGATAATAATATTCGCAGTCGTGTAACAAAGGGGTTTAAGGCCCCAGGCTAATGCTTCGTTAGGGCCCTACTATCCTGGCGGAAAAGCCAATAAATACTGTGCAAGTTGACTGATACTTGATGTTTTTTTTTATCATGACTGACGCTCTTAACGTAACACAACTTCATTCAGTGGTCTGACAACTGTGACTGGTCAGTTATTGGTAACAATAATATCAAAAATAATAATAATAATAATAATAATAATAATGATAATAGTTGTAGTATCTAGTGTATAATTTATACTCAATTTTATACTTTCACAGATATCACTCAACTGTTTCAGTGAAGTCTTCACCGTTGACCTAATCCCAAATGGTTCTCAGGTGTTCGTTACAAACAAGGTGAGCAGGTTGTTAGCTGTAAAAAACTAAGGATAGGTGGTAGACATTTTAAGGGTTGGTGGGTGGTTGGTAAACTTGAATTGCTGAATGGTTAAGGTACCTGTAGGTATGCCACATTGTACGTCCAGAATATCGGCACTGGTGCAAATGACATGCTCCCTTATGGTTCTGGTGGTGCAACAAATCTTCTCAGATAATGAATATAAACAGTAGGCCCAGTGTACACAATTTGAATCATGTGCACTTTAAAAAACCCAGTACATCTGTCGTTTACCCCGGTGTACTGGTGGATACAGCCCTTGTTTTGGACCAGAGTAGCTGGTACCAGTTAACCAGGTAGCTCAGGCACAAAGAGAAGAGACCCTTGGTGAGAAGCAACTGTACGAGCTAGACCAAACCGCAAGTGTTTTGAGACTGTAGAGAGTAAATTTTGATCAAAATAGGCCATCTTGTTAATTATCGTCACATTGCCAATATTGCATGTTCGTAAAATCGTTCATCTCCTCTCCAAGAATAGTTGATGATTTCAACATCTAACATTGGCTGATTCTTGGTCAATAGTTATGATTTGTTGCCAAAAAACCGGGAAGGTTGAACCTGGTTCAACTTTACCGATTTTTTTGCTGACGAATCAGAGTGCCTCCATGATTGCATTGGGGCAGCTGTGCTGTATGGCGATCGCTGTAGCGACTGTTTAGCCATTGTATGGAAACCAAGATTAGGTATAAAGTGCTATATAAATCTAACTACATTACATGTAGAATTATTCTCACGATTGTGATTTAATGAAAAAAGAATTTTTAAAAAAATTCCGAAAATTAAACACTGACATTTCATGATAATATCAAACAGTGAATTAATCAACACAAGAACACATTTTTATGATGAATAATTATTTTGCATCAAACATATTTCAATTTATATTATTTATAACTTTTTTTTTCAGAACCGGCAAAATTATGTCGACTGTTATGTCAAGTACATCCTTACGGACAGTGTTGCTAAGCAATTTGAGGTATAAATCATAAACTGTAGTCGTTTAAAGCTGGCCAATCACTGCGTCGTATGACATATCCAACTGTGAGCTGTAGACGTGAACAGAACAGATCGTCTTTAGAAACGATCCTTTTTGTGCGAGTCGTCGCATTGCGCATATTGTGTGGCCGGCTTTACTCTCTGTTGATTTTCATACTCGTAATGAAACAGTTGCACAAATCATATCAATTGCCTGGGGGCGCCTGTCATGTACACAGTTAAAAACCATCTGATAAGTAGGCGATCTTATGATACATATACCAGATGTGTAATACTGTATGTATCATTGTTTATGCAGGTCTACCTCCAATTAAAGACCCCTCCAATTAAGGACCACCTCCTATTAATTACCACTTTTTCTGTAGTCACAAATTAACAAACATCTTTTATCTTCATTATTCCATTAGAGACCAAAGCTGCTAAAGACTATGGAAACCCAAGTCCCAAGAGTGGTCTTTAATTGGAGGGAGACCTGTATTACCATTATCTTTGTCTAATTCTGCTGTATTAATAATAGGTATAGATATATAGCATGCTATTTTTCTAGGTGTAGGGCCTATTTTAATGAAAGTAGACATTGTCATTTCTCTTTCCACTTTTTCATGAGAGTCAGTATCAAAGAATTGTATAACACATACATGGCCAATATTTATTTCGATTTACTTCGATTAACTTTCCTTCTCTCTATCCTCTTTTTTTTTGCGCAGGCTTTTTCCCGTGGCTTTCATTTAGTCTGTGGTGGCCCAGCCTTGAAACTTTTCCAAGCTGAGGAGACGGAGCTACTGGTCTGTGGTAATCCCGAGCTGGATTTCAAAGCTCTTGAAGCCTGTACCACTTATGAAGATGGATTCACAAGGTATACTATCCAAAAGTATGCTGTAAATCAATAGGAAGCTTGCAATGGCCTGTGTATGTTTGTTTGTCCGTACGTCTATGACACTGATGTCATCAAATTCGTTGAAAGTTAATGAATTTTTGCATACATTAGGTATTTGGTCATATTATTGTGCCATATTGCTTGAAAACATTTTTGGATAAGTATTACACAAGAACTTTATTACCCGACTTCATCCATGACTCGGAATGTCTATTTCAATAAAAACCAGATGCAATTGCCTGTCCTCTCCAAATAATAATTTGACTCTAGTGAATGTACCATAAATGCACAGACTATCCCTTTAGATTAGATGACATTAAATCAAAAATTAAATTAAAAATTAAAAAATATACATTTTGAGCCTTCTTTAAAGAAAAGTCCTGGATCCGTTTTGTTTGTTTCCTTATTTCTATTTACATCATTATGAATAGTGTAATATATTCTTGTTTCTCTCCACATTGCAGATATCATCGAACGATAAAAGCATTCTGGAGTGTTGTGCACAGCTTGAATCAGAATCAGAAAAAGAAACTCTTAAATTTTATTACAGGAAGTGACAGAGTAGGTCACCACTTTTATTCATGAATATATCATCAATTCATTAAAACATATTTATCAAATCATAGTCAATCAATACATATTATATGTATTCTTAATAAAAAAAAAATTGTTTAATAATAATGCTAATAACGATGTTAGACTTATATATTTTCATGAATGTATTTTCATGTATGTATTTTTGAGAGCAGTTAGCTCAGTCGGCTAAACTGGTGGTAGCCACTGTGGGTGCACTGAACCATGGAGATCCTTTGGTCCTCAGTTCAATTCTCAATGCTGCTCTGCTTGTATTTGCATCGAAATGCAAGTTACAATTGCGGACCGTCTTTTGGATGAGACATTTAAGCTGTTCCCATGTGCATGTAAAAGAACGCTGTGTACTCTTCGGAAAAGAGTGAGAGATTGTCTCTGGTATACCGCCCCGCCCCAATCACCTCCAGAAGGACCCCACTGGAAATAAGCCTTCTTCAGACACTCCATATCCAAATTTTTAGATTTCATCATTTGACTTGGAGATTAGAGTTGACCACCAATGGTGTCTCGCTCTAATTTCCACTTGCCATTTTCGTCTTTGTGTCGAATTGGAAAATAATTGAATAAATAAAATGAAAATGGCACTCTCAGACCGAAATTTAATTATAATTTTCATTTTCATCTCTATTTTTAAATAATATTGAAAGCAGCTCAGCCACCCTTGAATGATTAGTCACTGCCCTCTTTAAATATGGTTTAAATAAACAAAATATTATTCTGTGTGAACACCAATGATAACACATGTCTGAAGACTTATTTCCAGTAGGCTCTTTCTGGTGGTGATTGAGCAGTACACCAGGCAATAAGGAGCTTTTTGATTTGATTTGCACGATGACCTAAATCTAGAATGGAATCACTCATGCATGACCATCATGCATTCTCTGCACAATGTAGATTTGGGCCAAACTGTGTCCTAGAAATGTAGCGACAATGACAACTCAACGTTTTCGCATACGCAGTTGACACTGTAGCGACGTCATTACATTGTAATTTGTAGGCCCTACAATCAATAGTTTGCTAAACCCTAGTAATTTTCCCTTCTTTAACATGCACGTATTAAAGTCATATTGTATTCGGGACCAATGTCTAAACTTCTTTCTATACTTGCATTTTATATTTTTTTTTAAATAAAACGAACTGTTAAAACATCTATATTTGCCTTTCTCTTGTCCAGGTACCAGTGAAAGGTTTATCCAGTCTGCCAATAGTCATTCAAAGACACGGACCAGATAGTGACCGTCTTCCAACTGCTATGACTTGCTTTAATCGTTTACTACTTCCATCGTATTCAAGCAAAGAAAAGTTGAGGAATCGCATTACAATAGCATTAGAAAATGGAAAAGGATTCGGCCTGACATAAGACTACATAATAAATTAATACTTGCCAGTGGTGCATTTAAGAAAAATATGGTTAGTACCCTCACAAGGTAGTATGGGTATATATCATGCATTCTTCGTAATATGGGTAGTTGGTGTCATGCTCACTGTGTTTGTTCTGCAGTGGGTTCAGTAGTGGCTCCAGGAATTTGCCGACATAGGGGTGCAAACCAAGGAGCCAACTAGTGCCTTGTTCAAGGTCCCTGAACAAAATCCTTCGTAGGGACCAATGTGTAGAGTTTTTCTTGGTTTTTATGGCCCATATTTGTACTTTAAACAATATTAAGAATTAGCAACCAAAGTAGCATTATTTTCATGGGCCAATTAATATTTTTTTGGCAAAAAATACGTCAACTATGGTAGGGGTATTTTCTACGTAATAGAAGCCTGGTTCTCACGAGAGCCCTAGTAACCGGATCGGGAGCTAACTGTTAGCGTTAATCGTTAGCACCTATGTGAGAATGCCCGATCGGTTAGCGCTAACCGTTAGAAGTATCCGGATACTGCTAACAGTTAGCAAGCGCTATCAGTTAGCAAGTTGAACGCCTTTCTATCATCAACCAATCACACGTAGGTGTTTACAATTTTTAGTTTCTTATTGGCCAGTGATTCGATCATCATATTCTTGGTATCCGGATCAGGATTTTCCCGTATATACGCAGCTAACGGTTAGCAGGATCCGGATCCTGCTAACCGTTAGCTGCTGTGTGAGAACAAAGCCATTAGTTTATAGGAATGTCATTGTTCAAAACAGAGATATGTGTTTTGTGGATCTGCAACTTTATAAAATTTTAATTTATAATTTAATTGCTGCCTATTTAATTATTTTCAAAGGGTGCGCCAAGAGTGCACGCCCCCATTCCAAAAAAATGTACTAGTTATAATCTTTAGGGGCATTGAAATAAAAATACATCCCACCAAACCACATCTAAACATCATTTTTTAATGCATATTCATAGACAAATGTAATCATTTAACCTAATTAAATGCAAACTCGCGTGGTTTTTGTTAATGTATTGAGTGCTATCA